TGTGCAGTGATGTCCCACATGCTGGGTCCCACTCCCAGGCAGTTTTCACCTCTTCCAAACCATCCGTGTGACCTGAAATGGTGGCACAAGGGGCCCCTGTTCCCCTCAGCCCTGAGCTTTCCCCCTTCCCATGGTTTTTGTTCAGTTTTCTCAATCCTTCATCTGTTCTGGCTCTCCTCTCATGACACTGCTCCCTGTAGCTCACCTTGGTTGTGAGGTGACCCTCCCCACCMCACCTGGAGCCCCTGGATTTGGTAAAATGTTGATTTCCCTTCTCTTGCCTCATTCCCTGTAGTTGAACCCCCAGGTAAGGCCCTCCCTGAGCCCCACCCCAGCTCACCTGGGAATTGTTCACCACATCCTCCAGGTACCTCTTGAACAGGGAGTACTTCAGCAGTTTTTTGGAGAGTTTGTGGTGCTGTTTTTTGAGGTCTTCCAGTTCCCTCCTAGCTTTCAAGAGCTCACTCTCCTTTTCKGTATTCTGCACTTTCTCTTCTTTGGCTTTCTTCAGAGCTTGGGTTCGCAGCCTTTCGTTCTCCTGGTGATGTTTTCCCACCACCACACAGCCAGAGGGAAGGGGAAGCAAGGGAAGGGGGAGCAGGGTCAGCCAGGGGCACTGGAAGGAGACGCCTTCAGAGAGGAGACAGCAGTGCAGCACCCCAGGACCATTCCCCTCATTTCATGGGGCCATCGCTCTCTGGCCTGGGGGCAGCCCCTGGCACAGGACTGTGCCTTTCAGGCCTCCTTCACCTGCCCTGGAACATCGTGGGGCGGGGCTGGGCTGACACCTGTCTCTGGAGACAATTGGGGTCCTCTGGAGTGACAGGGTACAGGACATGTTCTCTCCTTTCTGGGTACAAATCCCTGCTCCTATCCGTGCCGGGATCGGGGCAGGCCTGGCCGGGTGTGCTGGCCCATGGCTGTTCCAAGAGAGAGGAACTGGGGCTTGGCTGAACAGGGGTGCTGTGCCAGGTGTGCCAGGTACCAGGTGTGACAAGTGTGACAGGTGTGCAAGGTACAATGTGTGCCAGGTACCAGGTGTGACAAGTGTGACAAGTGTGTAAGGTGTTCCAGGTGTGCCATGTCTGCCAGGTACATGAGGTGTGACTGGTGTGCAAGGAGTGCTGGGTGTGCTCAGTGTGCCTGCTGTGTCAGGTGTGCCTGCTCTGCCCACTGTGCCCAGTGTACGAGGTGTTCCAGGTGTGACCAAGGTGTGCCAGGTGTACAGAGTGTGCCAGGTGTGCCCGCTGTACCTTGACAGTGCTCCCCGATTTCTCCACGTGTGCTTTCAGCTGGGCCCTCTTGGCGTGCAGCTCCTTCCACTGCTCAGCRAGGGCCTCCATCCTCTCAGTGAAGGCCTGGCAGCAGCAGAGCGAGGGTGACACGGCTGCCACAGCCAGAGCCCCCGCCCTGCCTGCTCCTGTCACCCTCCAAACCCCCCAGCCCTGTCCCAGAGCGCTCCCAGCCTCCTCACCTCCTCTTTCTCTTCCACGACCTTCTCCATCAATCGCACTTCCTTCATCTTCTTCAGGAGGCAGATGAAGGAGTTGGTGGATTCCTCCTCGGTGGGCCGGAGCTCCCTGCCACACATTTCCTGAGGTTACGCTCCGGGTCCAGCTCCTGGCAGGATGCTGGGTCACTCTGGGAGCTGGGCTGGGTCCCAGGTGTGGTGACAAGACCCCAATCCCACCTCCCACCCCTCTGGCAGAGTGACCCCCCAGCAGGGACCCCCTGGCACAGCCAGAGGAGCTCCAGGGCTGGGAAAGGCACTACAAGAGGGAATGGAGAGATAAAGAATGGGAGCTCACYCCGGKGGGGTGAAGGAGGGATGGGGAGGCAGGAGAGGATGWGGAGCCCCTCACCTGAGCAGGGACAGGAGTCTGTCCTTGTACTGCCCCCGGTAATAGCTCACATCATCATGGGCCATCGCTGCGGCCACTGGCACGGCCACGTCCTGCTCCGGGCTCTGGGGTCACTTCARTGCACCAGGACAAGCCCTGGGGCTACTCYARTCCASCAGGACAATGCTGGGGCTACTCTAATCCACCAGGACAAGCCCTGGGGCTACTCCAGTCAACCAGGACAAGCCCCGGGGCTACTCTAATCCACCAGGACAAGCCCTGTGGCTACTCTCAATCCCAGAGACAGGCACTGTGGCTCCTCCAAACATTCTGAGAATTCTATGAGTGGCTTCYTCCAGCACTGTGACAGCTCCAGTGGATCCACCAACCATTGTGACAGCTCCAGGGGCTCCTGCAACCATTGTGAGCACTCCCTGTGTGYCCAGCTGGGAGGGCACAGCAGGGCCCTCCTCAGGGCTGGTTCTGCCCAGGGGTGCTCTCTGGGTCACACTGAGCTTTCCCATTCGCCAAACATCAGCTGATTGGTTTTTCATTGATTTAATTTCACCCTCAAAAGATGATCCATGACCAAGAACCACGCAAAACAAAGGGGTGGGGTCATGGGCCAGCTGGGGGAGCCCACAGGAGATGGAACCTTTGGAATCCACTGCATCCTGRGAGATTTCACCTCTGATGGTCACTGCCAGTCCTGGCTGATCCCAGGACAGGACACAGGGGCTCCAGCAACAGCTGGAACACAGGTTTTGTGCTGCTCCAGGCCCTTTAGCAACTGCAGGGAGCAGTTTTGGGTACAAAAGCCACTTTTGTGACTGTGCCTGTCCCTGCTGCTCCTTCTCCCCCCAGGACCAGTTCCTGGATTCTTCAAAGCACCTCCTGTGCAAGGTCACTGTTCAAAGAACAACCAATGCAAGCCTCGAAACAGTGAAAATACAAAAGTCCTCCCAAGCTGCATTTTCAATATCCCCCCTTAAGAAATAGTGGAATATTAATATAACAAACACTAATGCTAAAATATACTAAAAATAGAGATTTATTTGTATATATAAATATACAATCAATTATATGATACAGCTTTATAGACAATAYACAAAAGATATAAAATACAATCTATAACACAAAAATACCTAAAGAGGCAGATGTGCTGAATTTATACAACTTTTCGTTGCTATTCCCCAAAGTACTTCCACAAACAGAAGAACTGAGAGGGCTTTTAGGATCTCTCAAAGTTTATTAATCACACCAAGACCTAATTCGAACGTTGCAGTTGTTTTGATGTTTTTAATTGAGTTTTTAATTGAGTTGTTCCCCAGGAGATGCTGATGCTGCCCAGTGCCCACATCTGCTGGACATCCCTCTGTGGCCACAGCCCCATCAGGAGGTCACTGTGCACAGGGACAGCGGGGCCAGGAGGGGTCAGGGACCGGCTGGCACTCGAGGTGTCCGGGCACAACCCAGAGCTCGGCCGGAGCTCCTGGAGGAATTCTGGGGAGCTGGGGACATCTCCTGGCCGTGGGATGGAGCAGCACTGCTGGAGAACCACCCACAGGAGAGAGCACCTCAGCTCCTCTGCCTGGACACCGCAGCGTGGGCTCGGGACTGCAGCTCAACGGGAAGGCAGAATGAAAAATAGAAAAAAAACCAATTTTTTTTCCAAAAGGGGCTGAAAAGCATTTTTTATAAACCACAACATCCCCCTCAACCACCCCAGTGATGCTGAAAGCAGAGCAGAGCCCTGCTGTGCCCTGACCACCTGGGATTCAAGGGCAACAGCAGAGAGGCGCTGGGATTGTCCTGCATCCCAGACCTGAACTCCATCACATTCCCGGGTGTTTATCGAGGCTGGCAATCAAAGACACACACTCCTGGGATGGAGTTTGCCACAGCACCCAGCTCTCCTCCCTGCTCTGGGGGGTTTAAAATGCTCTTTTATTAAATCTTTTTTATTATCAGTCTCCCCACTGGCACCAGCTCTGTGAACATGACAGAAGCATTACACTTCCGAAGATGGAAAATCATTGCACTTCACCCAATTCAGTTTAATTAGAAGGACACAAAATCCAGAGTAACAACATCTGACAACGTTGTTTAACTAAAGCAAAGGGCACGTAAAGCTCTGTGCTTGCCAAAAAGAGCACAGCCATTCCCGCCTGTTAAAAAACAGCCAAGGCAAGCAAATTTGAAATCATTTGCAGCTCTGTGTCCCTCCCTCCCCCAGCGCTCTGCCCCGCTCTCGCAGGCTGGGTCATGACAGTGCTCTGCTGGTCACAACCATTTTTGTGCCATGTTTGGTGACTGCCCCGGCCCTCAGCACGGCACAGCTCCCCCGTGCCCGTGCTGCCGGCCGCGCTGGTGTGAAGATTAAAGCTCATCCAATTAGCCACCCACGGCCTGTGCTGCTAATCACCAAACCTGGGGAGCCGTCACAGGGCACTGGAGAGTGGCCGTGCCTTTTGATTACAGGAGCAGATTTAACTAATTACAGGGCTCAGCAACGCGCCCGGCTCCAAACCACGGCGGCACTGCCTGACAAGGGAGGGCTTATCTCATTGTTCCACTGATAATTCCTACAGCACCTCCCGAGGAACTGAGACTACTCAAGCAGCATTTACTGCAGGCCAAGGCCACACATCAAGGCTTAGGGCTTTAGAAGACTGATCAGCAAGACTGAGCCTTGAACAAAACCTGGGTCATATGACAATGGGGTGGATGATCACTTGAACATTCCCTTAGCTCCAGTGGGGCGCTTTGAAGCACCCAGGGCGCCCCAGCTCGGCCTCACAGGTCACTCTGCTGGGGAAGGACTGGACAGTCTCTCACTCACAGCGCTCACACCGGATTTTTAGGAAGCTCCAAGCTAATAAATTAAACAAATATAATTCAACATATGAAAGAAAAGCTCTCTCTACCCCTCCAAACACCTATGAGAGGCCAGAAGAACACAAGCACTTCCAAAGCCTCTCCAGGCACCATCCCAGGTGGAGATTTCTATACCAGCTCCTGATGGGAAGCCTGCAGCATTCCTTGCAGCTGGCAGAACACTTCCAGCCCCACCAGCACAGGAACTGCTGCTCCCATGTTCCAGGACATTCTGTGCTGTTCACATCACCATTTACCTATGGCTGGGCTCACTGGTCACACAGCTTCCAGGGCTGGGAGCTGCCCGTGCTGGCTGCCTTAGGCACCCCAGACAGGTGACAGTACCACGGCTACCCTACATCACCTCCATGGCCACCAGCCCTGTCCCAGCACCAGCCCGGGCACCCTGCAGCACCTCCATGGCCACCAGCCCTGTCCCAGCACCAGCCC